GCAAAAATATGATGACACTTCATTCTTTTGCAGGAGCTGAAACAAGTGTCTCCAAATATCACAATATTTTTTGGTTGAATACACTTTTGCTTATCCGGCTTTTTATCTCAATCAAATATTGTTTTTTTTTTTTATCATGAAGTGCAGACGGCATAAAGTCAGCGGCATAAAGTTATAGTAGATGAGGATGTTGCGCAACAACGGCATTGGGAGGTGTGTGATTACAGGAATAGTGCCCGAATATCAGGTAAGCAATATCTGGGCCACAAGACAAGTAAGGGAAATATACCCTTTTTTTTTTTTTTTTTTTTAATCGAGATATTTGGAAGACCGTGTGTGCGTACTTCAATTAGCTTCCGAAGTCAAGTTAAACACGGACGAAACCAAAAAGCAGTAAAACCTAATGTATGCTGAAGAAGTAACCTAAAATTGAAACCTAGAGAATGAAAGAAGGAAGACGTTGAACTCGGCAAACCAAAACCCTTGTAGAGGGTAAGATTAAGCATGCACCATGCATTCCTCCATATAGATTTAGTATGAGGTTCCCTCAACAATCAATTAAATAATATTGAACTCTAATCTCTAAACTTATTGGATCCAATCAAAATTTAATTGCTCTTAATGAACGTGATGATATTAATATTTAATTTGGCTCGTCATCTATATAGGCAGGTGAATATAAACATTACACGTGTAATTATTGAAGTGGTCACTGGTGGACACTGTAACAAAGTCACTGTGGAAACGAACCTATGTCAAAGCGAAACAAGATAATTTGTATTGATTAATGATTATCATCATTATTAGGGGTGTTCGATTTCGGATATCCTACACTTTTTTGAAGAATCGGAACCAAAACCGGAACCAAAACCAGAACTGACAGTTCCTTAAAATTAGGTACCCAAAATCAGAACCTATAACAATGGTTCCGGTTCTGGTTCTAGGTACCCTGTAAAATTACAATGACCCTCCAAAAGTTTTTAAAATGAAAAAAACCCTTAAAAACATACAAATACCACCCTCCCCCCAACCTAGCACTTGTTAACAAAAATAAAATTACAAATTATAAATTCAAAATTACAAACTCCATGATTTTGTAAAGGTAGATTCTTAAAAGTCAAACCAACTTACTTTAAATGTTATGAAATATAAATATAAATGTATTCACATTAATTTTTCTACAAAAGCTTTTATTAGCCCCCTAATCTTTAATTTTATTTTATATTAGTCTCAGTTTCTGGTTCTTGGTTCCGGTTCCGATTCTTAACTATAAGAATCAGAACCGAAATCGTACAGTAACTGTTTCAAAAATTTGAAATCAGAATCTACCCATTGACGATTGATTATGGATAGGAACAGAATCAAATCCAGGGCACCCACTAGTTCCAGTTCCAACCGGTTCTTTTGAACACCCCTAAATTCACTATGGCTATGGCGCTTGAAGCCAAATATTATTCTCTGCATCCTCTTCTTCCTGAACCCCAAACCCATTCCTCGAACTGTTCAAAAACCATTAGAATTGCAACTTGTTGTGCTCGTCATGTCATTCAAGCTCAAGCCGAGACAATGAGGACCAAGAAGAAGCTCAAACCAAGCTTCTTCCAGCAAATTCGCCATAAATGGTCTTCGCAAATAAGTTCACCAAGAGAGAAGTTTCCATGGCAAGAACAAGAAAAAGAACAAGACCAAGAACTTGAGATAGAGGAAGAGGAAGAGGAAGTAGAAGAATTGAAAACCCCGCAGTCTTTTGGTGTTGCAGAAACTGATGTGGCGTCATCAGTGNCATCTAGTAAAACCAGAGTGACAGAGCAATGAAGGATTCCATAAAGAGTAAGCTGCACTATAGTCACGGATGAACCCATCAAGGTGGAGATTGTTAGAGTGTTGGGCTCATACGGTGATGTTTTATTATTAAGTGAGACGACGTCGTTTTGAGCCAAGCAAAGACAAATCCTATCCATTGGCTGGCTGAGCATCCAACGGTGGAAAATCAGTCTGATAGTCAACAGTATAAAAGCATTGCAACAGTCCCTTTCTCAACAGTTGAAACCCTTCTTTCGTGTTTTCTATTTTCTCTGTAAAACGAATAAGCCTCCATTAGGGTTTGGGGTACAGTCTTGATCTTGAATCTGTAACAGGGTGTTTGAGTGGCTGGTCTGCAGGCCATTTGAGGGTACTAGAATTTGCAGTGTATCTTGGGTGTTAGATCTGTTTTCTCTAGGGTATTACAGGTTCTGGAAAGATCGGTGTAAGGGTTTGATTCTAGGTTGAGTTGTGTTTCTGTAATCTAAATAAATATAGTGCAGCGAGCTTGCTGGTTTCTCGAGCTCAACGTGGATGTAGTTTGCTCATATCCGAGCAAGTGAACCACGGTAAATCTGGTTGTTGTGTGTGTGTGAATCCTTTTGTGATTTTGTGTTTGCTTTCTGGTTAAATCTGTTCAAGTAGTTACAACATTATCTGTACTTAACATATAAAATTCAAGAAATTTTAGCTTCAGAGATGTAATATGACATAAGTTAATACTTTCAAATCCCGCCCGATAGTCATCAAAGTCTCACCTAGTGTTGGAAGAGGACAGCCAACGGTGGTGGTGGTAGCGGTAGCGGATAGATGGCGCTGGTGGGGGTCGAAGCCCGAAACGTGTGGGTTTTGTACAGGATTGAACGGTAGTGGAAGAGGAAGAGAGAATGACGGTGGTGGAAGACGATAGCCCTTAACACGTGGGTTTGAATTTTTTTTTTTTTTTTTTAAATTTTGGGAAGTGATGTGGCAATTGGATGACGTGGCAATTGAAGTGGCAACACGTAGGATTGTGAGAGAAGGTAGTAGTATTATTGACCCACCCTTCCAAAAACATCCTACCCACCACAACTGCAAATCGTAGCCTCCTACCGCACAGCCACCACAAAACATCGCCGTTCACCAAGAAACTAAACCCCACCCATCACAAACCACTATGTACAGCTGCCACCCACAAGCAAATCACCACCACCACCACTCTAAAGATAAAACAAAAAAGAAATTGCAATCCATGTCGCTCACTGAAATTGAGAATGGTAGAGGTGGCTTTAGCGAAAGTACAAGAAAATCTTGACCCAACAGAGCTCTCCTCTGACTTGGAAACCATAAGCAATGAGGAGAGGTTTTTCGTAAAATGGGTCTGAGCATGAAACTATTGTTAGAGGGAAAAGTTTTGCACCAGTCAAGCAGATTGCAATTTCGTTAGAGACTGAGAGTGGTGGAGACATCAAATTTTTGTCACTTGGGTTGTGGTTCCTCCTCCACGTTTAAGCTGAAATCTCCTTCGTATTGTTTCACTTGTCCATCAATACCATCGTTGAAATATATCTTAAGGCCACACTTCTTTACATTGTAATTTTCTCCACTAAAATCAAAAGTAACATACCGGATTTCTTTTCTAACCAACTGAGGTTCATCGATATGTGTCAGGAATACATTATGTGACATAACACTGTAGCATTGAAACATATCCAAGTCAGTACTCTCGTCCCTCACCTCTGTCTTACCATATTGGTCGAAGACAATAAATTGTTGGCGATCAGACAAAAAATTGTGCCAACACAGTCGTGAAACCTCGTGATTGGAATAGGTTCACCTAAGGGTAACCTCTTAAGACCGTTCAAAGATGATATGGCATGTGGTAGTTCTCTTGTGCCAGTATAATTAGCTTGGGTGCCTCCAAATCTTCTAATTGTCCTAAGTTGTTGGGGAATCTATGGAGGTTTGAGGAAGGTGTGAGATCAAGGTACATAAGAGTCTTCAACTCACAAATGTCGCGTGAGAGACTTTCAAGCAGAATGCAAGATCCAAGAGGAATAGGCTTGATGGACGTTCGATGCGAGGCAATTTTGTTATAGATGTTCCATCTAAATATACTTCAATCACGTTACACGTGATGGTTGGAGCAATCTCGAGACTTGAGTAACCAGAGAGCATAAGTTCTATAAGAAATTTTGATTGAATGTCCATGGAAAGAATTCTAAGGCTTTTGCAACCTTTAAGATTCAACTTATTCAACTTTTTTAGATATTGAATTGACGGATCAACTTCAATCAAACTTATACAACCTTCTAGAATCAAACTCTCAAGGTTTGGGATCATTGAGAGATTTGGAATTCTAATTAGGTGCTTGGAGTGGATAAGGTTAATATGCTTCAACTTCTCTAAATGCTGCAAACAATAAATTAAGGAGATGAGGAAGTAACATAAATTATATGATTAGCTTTATGATTTTCTACAAAAAAAGAGAATATCAAGATAAATATTTATACCTGGAGACCATTCCAGAGTTGTTTAATTTCGCTACTAGGCATGATAAACGCAACAAGATTTTGCAACTCAAAATTTGATGGCAATGAATCCAAAGGATATCCAAACCAGTGAAAGTACCTTATGTCATATGAACTGAATTCTAGGCCCTGCAAAGCATGAACCTTATTCTCATTCTCTTCGTTCGGTGAGCAATATTGACAGCTAAAACCGCCACGACACTCGTATTTATCTAAGCAACATCTACAATAAAAGTACGTGAAGTCTCCAAAGTAATCCTCTTCAAAGGCCAAGTAAAAGTCTGAGTAAAAGTTTGAGTAAAAGTCCAAGAATTTGAGGTTTTGCATCTTCAAGAAAGCATCGTACTTCAAGTTTCTCTCTTTTATTTTAGAAATATCCAAGGAGATGCATTCAATTGCTTAAGTTCCCTAACAATCAAATGACAATAAATTAGTATCTTAAATAAATGTCAAAGCCTACTATTACAACATGTAGTTATAAAATTATAATCTATTTTTTTTCTCTCGGAATTCTTTTTTGTAAAATTCAAATGTAGGCATGCCCCAAGTCTAACTTAACCCTTACCTGTAGGAACTAATAAATTAGCAAGTATAGAATGTGGACGTACATGATGCATGACGATTAAAAATTAATAATAATAAATGGATGATGTTTTCCAATTTATAATAATATAAAAAATTAATCAGTTAGTCTCTCACCGTGTTTCTTCTTAACACTTGATAGATATCATCATGACGCCATAATTTGCTGCGTTTACCTGGATCTTTAGATTCTTGCTCGACTACTGTTCGCCCCATTTGTTGTAATAAATCATGCATATCTATCTCATTGTATTCTATAGTTACGAGAAACTTGTCAATGAGATTACTTACTCTCAAGTCGGAGACAAACTGAATGACATCAAGAATTTCTATTGGAAGACGTTTAAATTTGTTTTTAGCTTTTTCCAAAAAGCATGCAATATCTAGAAATAATTTTTTCTCTTGACAATCAAGTCCATTGTAACTTATTTTCAACACATCTTGGATTGTTGGATTTAGATTTCCCTGTAAGTCACACAAGGCACTTTCCCATACTGACTTTGGCTTGCCAAAAAGTAAGCCACCCAAAACTTTAAGAGCTAATGGAACACCATCAGCGAATGTTGCTACCCTTATTGATAGCTCCTCGTAACCTATTGGAGGATACTCCTGCTTAAAGGCATGTCGACTGAAAAGTTCAAGAGCTTCATTATCCATTAATCCCTTAAGCTCATATATATTATCATGACTCACTCCACAAACTTGAAGTGCTTGTCTATCCCTTGATGTTATTATTATTTGACTTCCAAGACCTAAACACTCAGGATCTCCGATTAAATTTTTCATTTGCTCTACACATGTCACATCATCAAAAACTATTAGAACCTTCTTACTACGAAGCCTATCTTTAGTGAAGGTGGACTCTAAAATGGCCCATCGGTCCTCTAATAATGCAGAAAGAAGTTTTTCACTCAAATAATTTGATGTAGATTTTTTCACCTCTTCCCTCACATTTCCTCGAAAGTAGGCACTTTCAAACTGACTTGCAAGTTTGGCAAATACTGCACGAGCAAGAGTTGTCTTGCCTATACCTCCCATTCCCCAAATTCCTACCAATTTGACAATATCTTTTGACTCAATACATAGTAGTGATTCAATGTCCTTGATTCTCGATTTTACTCCAACGAGGCCTTTGTAATCAATTTCGGACTTATGATTCAGTATTTTGAAAATAAATTCGATAGTATTTTCTATCAAGTCAGCTTCATCCTTAACAAAATATAAAACACAATAGTAAGTTTAATTAAATCAAAGAGAAAAGTAATTCTATTTAAATTAAAATAAATATTCTATAACTTTTAGTTAAAATGCCTAAGTGCTTTACAAATTAAGTCAATAATATATATTCATAATTAAATATAGTAGTACAAAATATTTTTTTCATTAATAATACACCTTAAAATATCTAAAAATTTATATATAGCTTAAGTGTAAACAAAATAACTCCTAGAAAATTTTAAAGTGAAAATTTTAAAATATCTTAATCATTCTGAGGTCTAAAAATCTGCAAAGGTCTTAAAAATTCCATTTTCTTAACAAAAACCAACCAAACTGCTTGCATATACAAATACAAGTTAAATAAGTCACTGTTTCACGTTTGGGGTTCAACGCAAAAGCAGAAAACTTTCTTTTTTGGAAGTGGGACGTGAAAAGAAGGTAGCTGCCATAGTTTCTCCCGATACTTGCAGTTTTTGAAAAGACTTCAAGGTTGAGTACTAAGCGCGCTAAAGTGAAGTTCATGATTGCCCAACTGGATTTCCTTGTAGCGGGTAGATAGTTTTAAGGGAACCCACCCTGACTGACGAGACGACTAGACAGCTTATTCAGAAACACACAAACGACGAGGCATATCTCAACCATTAACAAATATCATAAGCCGAGTTGCAATATTTTTAAAATTTTGCAAAATCATCCTTAAAATTTATAAATTATATTTAATAAACTCAAGTTTCCTTTTTCTAAGAATAATGTCATTATATCTAGGGCTGAGCAGGTCTGGGTACCTGGCCACAAAAGAGGGAATCGGAATCGAAACTGCACAGTACTACTTCCTGAGTTTTAGGAACCAAAACCGGAACTGGTATTGTGTGGTTCCTAAACATTGGAACCGGAACTAGAACCAAAACCAGAACCTATTGGTTCCAGGTATCCTGTACTCTTTTCCAGAGATTCAAATAAATGCATGAGCTATGGTAACCACGCCGCATCCATCGACTTTTATACGAATTGAAATTCGGAAGTTAAGAAAGCATAATTCAAGGTTTTTTAACTGAATAGCAGATTGACCCGGCTTACCATTATATTAAATAAAATGACTTTTCACATAAATTACAAATATATCATCTACTGTTCATATAAATTACAACGATACCTTATACAGTTGGGTGAGGACTTTCGTCGAGCAGGTGGGGGGCAGTAAAAAATAAACCCAACCTCAACCAACTCCAACAAACAAACCAAAATAACTCCATAAACAGAATCAATTCCACAACTCAACTCAACAACAATCAATCAACTCCACAAAGCACATTTTGGGCATGGAGGTGACAAACAAAAGCAAACACCATGCAAGGCAGTCAAGGCACATTGGCTCGCAGTGTAGTAGGGTAGGTCGCGCTCGAAGCCCATCAAGTAGCACACAATCATGCGTTGGGGCAATGCGATTGTGGAGAATTGGGCGTGTTGGTTCACCTAAACCATAGTCACGCACAAAGTGGGTTGTGTGAGCGGTTGGCTAGTATAAGTGCAATTGCATGACTTTGAAGCCTGACGGTGCAACAAATAGGTAGGTAAAGGTGGCTAAGCTGACAAGAAAATTTGGGAAAGTTGTTTGGCGCCAAAAAATGGTGAAAAACGACTAGCGGTAGCGTCGGCATCTATCCCAAAGTTGAGAGAAAATTTTTTCTCCCTCCTTTAAGTCTTCCCTCCCCTTTGCATAGAAATAGCAGAATGAAAACGATAACAGATGAGGATGGTACAAAATCAAGAGAAAATTTGCTTCATAGCTTGTGGTTTGCAAACATGAGCATTGTTTTAAAACCTAGCCTGGGAGGGTGACCCAGTCAGTTGATTGGGTCCTNATGTATACAAAAATAATAAGTGAAATAAATTAATTGTTGATTATTTCCATAAAAGAAATTATTTCCATAAAAGAAAGAGAAGGAGAATATTCTAAGGAATATATATATAGGAGGGGCGAGGAGAATGTCAATGAGTAAAGGGTATGGCTACGATGCGTTCACGAAAGGTTAATAGGAGGGGCGAGGAGAATGTCAATGAAGAGGGCACTAGTGAGCCAGTAGCATCGATTATCAATGCGCTCCCTAATAGTGGGCCACGTACGTTTACCCAAAATGCTTCTGTTTTGGAGGAGGCTGCAATCAACAAGATGATTTAGGAGCCATTACTAAGGCTTTTAGGAGGAATGTGAAAGGGATGACTGTCTTAATTAACACTTAATTCATATTCAATCATAAGACATTGGTTTGTACCTAGTTTTCCTTTGCCTTTCCTCAGACTATTCAGGTATTGAGGATAGTTCCTCTTCCAGTGTCCATCTTCTCCATAGTGGAAATATTTTCCCTTTGCATTGGTCTTCTCTGCCTTCACCATTGGCTTTTTGAAGCCCTTATTCTTGGGTCCAAAATTTGGACCTTTCTTTGGTTGCTTTTTGGGCCTTTTATTGGCCCTGCCGGTGAAGGCGACAAAGACATCCTCATGTCCTTTCCCTTTCACATTCCCCCTAAAGGCCCCAGTAATGGCTGCATGAATCATCTTGTTGATTACAGCCTCATCCAAAACAGAAGCATTTTGGGTAGACGTAGGTGGTCCACTATTAAGCGGCGCATTGATAGCCGGCACTATTGGCTCACTAGTGCCCTCTCCATTGACATTCTCCTCGCCTCTCCTATTAACCTTTCGTGAACGCATCGTAGCCATACCCTTTACTCATTGACATTCTCCTCGCCCCCCCTATTAACCTTTCGTGAATGCATCGTAGCCATACCCTTTACTCATTGACATTCTCCTCGCCCCTCCTATATACATATATATATTCCTTAGAATATTCTCTTTCTCTTTCTTTTATGGTAATAATAAAAAATTAATTTATTTCACTTATTATTTTGGTATATATTAATTAAATATTAGGAATGATATTTTTATTAAATAATAATTACTTTTATGGTAATAATTTCTTTTANGATTTAAAGAGATGTGGAAGTGTAGCCAACATGGTAGATGCAAGTGCTTGTGAAGTGTTTGATGAAAATCCAAAGAGAAAATGCATGCATGAGTTGGCTAAACCCTAATGAAGAAAGGGTTAGAGAAAGGCAAGAAGATTGTTGTGATGGGGAACCCGTGAGTGACAGAGATGCCCACATGCACGCTGCCATCAATGAGCGGCATCAGCAGAGAGATACAATATTTATACAGTCTGTCAGTAGTGTATGTGGATGAGGAATGTACCCAGCAGAGCATACCTACATGCACGCTGCCATTAGTGAGCGGCCACAGCAGAGAGATACAACATTTGTACAGTCCATCAGTAGTGCATGTAGATGAAGACTGTACCCACTCACATGGCCAGGGTTCCAAATCCATGCATCAACCTAGTCCGATCGGCAAACCAGAATAGAAAAAAGAAAAGAAAGAGAAACAGAGAAGAAAAGAAAAAGATACAGCATAATATATAGATAACAGAAAAGAAAAAAAAGTTCTTTTTCAATACAGTTTATTATTATGCATATGTATTATGCTACTTACATGATTCAGTATTTCTTATGTGCTCGACGATGTACAGTTTTATTCATTGTCTTTGCACGTTGTTAAGTAGCAAATCAGAGTATCAGAAAAGAATGCAGAATATCAGAAAAGAATGAAGAATATTATTAAAGATTAAAGTGAGAAAAGGAAAATCAGAACATGAGTAATAGAGGAAAAATAGTAATGCACTTTGGTTTATTTACTAAGCAATTAGTGCTCACTTAGTTATTTGGAGAAATCGTAGATCTACGAAATGAGCTTAGTGTTTAACTCTTTCAGTAAGCACCTCTTCCGACCTTGATTGCCATCGAAAGCAGGCGTTACTCCGATTAAAGCCAGAACCCTAGATGCATCGAATGGGATTCACGCATAGAGGAGACTGTGGGACTTTATTGCTTCCTAAGAGAGCCCTTCTTTTCTTATTCTTAGCGAGGAATAGCCCCACGCAAAGCATAACCTAAGCGAGCTCCGAGCAAAGCCCCTTCCCTTTCACTGTCTAGCTCTAGAGTTAACTTGATCCCAAGAAATATAAAAAATAGTCAAGATTTATTGATGATCGACTAGACCAAGGTATGAAATCAATGGATAAGGCCGTTAAGGCTAAAGCCCTTCTTTATGACTTAGGAATAGGACTCGCCATAAGATGAGTTCATCTTATTCTCTTCCGATCCGGACGATTAGCCCCATAGTTTTGTAGGTACTTGATGATTTACGATCGGGTGGAACATCAAGAAGCGGAGGAGTTTGGCGGCACTGTCCAAGACTACCTTATACTTATTAAAGTATATCAGTTATTTTGTGTATATATTTATATGAAGTAAAATTAGAATTTTCGGATGTTACATTATATACCTCTATGTATATATGTTTGCAAAAGTTATTTAGTGGATTTTATCATATATTTCTTAAAGAATTACTAGCTAGACAATATATCACATAGGGCATAGATAATACAGTACACCTATCATAGTGTTTGATGACCCTATTAAAAAGTAGTGACAGATCTCACTTATCAAGGTTATTTGATGACAACCTGGTGCAACACATGGGTGCTTACTGTTGGCAAGTTCACTGGTCCAGCCCATTGGAGGATTCTACATAGATGGTTACCCCAGTGTCTATGGAATAAATCCTTCAATGAATAATGGTGCATGTGATCCTTAGACTTAATATCACTGGAGCACCTTGTGTACCGATTAGTGTAGTTTGACACTAGCCCAACGTAGTCCTCTCAGGACTATCAGAACGGTAGTGGTTAGCTATATTGAAAAGTGTATCAAGAGTATGGTGGATCGACAAGGGATTCATCACTCTCGGATANCAAGTGGTGCTTCTGAGCAAGATATTGTGAGTATTTGTTACATTTAATTAATTTTCTTTAACTAATTGATTTTAACGTTATATGTACATTGTTTTGTAGATGATTCAAGCCAAAATGTTACTAGCACAAGATAAAAGTTACAAGAAAGGTTTCAGATTTGATCATGTGTGGCCTATACTTAAGGATATTGAAAAATTTGCAGATAATGTTAACGCCGTAGAAGTATTTCAAAGGAAAACTGGTAGGTTTGTATCACAAGAATCAAAGACTCCCACTTGAAAGTCTCCCCAATCAATGCCTTGTGACATGTCGTCAAATTCTCTAAACATAAATAATGAAAATATTAGGGGTAGTTCAGCTCAACGACCCACTGGTGTGAAGAAAGCAAAATTTAAAAGGAAAAATGATAAAGAAGTTCTAAACAGTTTTGAAACTATTACTGAAGAAAATTGACAGCTCACTGCTATTTTCAATCAGGGTAACTCAGCTAGGGCACAAAATTATGAAATCCAAATGAAAAAATTGCCTTTGGCAGAATATTGAGAAGATAACAAATTTTTATTCAAGGATTTGAAATCCATAACCGATCCAATCCTACGTGAGTTTTTTCAAAATGAGCAATCAAGAATTATACAAAAAAGAGCTCAACAACAAGGTCAAGGACCTCAAAAGAACTCTAATTCTTTCCAATATTTTGATAGTCTTACAGGATTCGGAACTAATCTATCGGAACACTTTAGTTATTTTAGTTTATGTTGTATTTTCTTTTAATTTTAGTGTTTTTAAATTAGTGTTAATTTTTATTTTGAGTTATTCTAGTTTAATATTTGCATTGAATAAAGTTTTGTTTTTAATTTTTCATCATTTTTTGAATTATATAATTATTATGAATTTATTATCATAAATATTAATATGAATAATAATCAAAATAACTTAAATACAAATAACAAAAAAAAAATAAAATTGTATGAACAGTACCACACCAATTTGGTGTGGATGAACAGTGCTACACCAAATTTGGCGTGGCGCTGTTCAGCCGCACCAAATTGGTACGGTAAATGGCGCTGCATTGGAGTAGCAGTTTCAAGCTTTTTTGGTGTTTTTCACACCAAAATAGCAATAGCGTGGGTTAGAGATACCCTTAGGATTCATTAAACATGTAAAACGGGTTAAACTTATAAGATTTAAACACATGTGGGTAAAATATAATTAACGTTTGTTTAAATTTTGAAATTTTAAAACAAGCCCCCACCCTTCAAAATCGTTTAATCGAGCCATATACCCAAAAAAGACTGCCAAACGCATTTTGTTTCTCTGCGATTTTTGGCAACAACAGTGCCCTAATTCCGACAAATAGCAACAAGGGTAGGAGTGGTTGGTCACCTAGGAAAGAAATAGAATAGATTCTATTACCCCGAAACGAATATCTAATATCTACCTATTTTGGTTGGTAGTCCAAATGTACAAAGGTTTCATCGGCGGCAGACAATAACGCGAAATCAAGGAAGGCGGCGGCCATGACGGTTTTGGCAAAGTTCAGGGGAAATCTGCAAGTCAAGATAAGATTGAAAATTGACCAGAAACTGAACATAATATTTGAAACCTTCCGGTGATGGAAAGAGATTTTTTTGATAAGTGGAAAAATGCGAGATCAAAGAATTAAGGGATTTGTCCAACGCATGACTTTGGTGCTCTCCATTAACCGCTCAAATCTTGTGATTTTTCGAAAGTAGGTTAGAATGACTTAATTGCAATTGGTTTGGTAAATGCCAACGAGAAATCCATAATAATAAAAGGCTCCTTAATTTCACAAAGAATTGGATCTAATTTCCGTATAAAGGAATTATCATAGGATAAAATGAGAAGACTGAGATCCGAAATGCGTGGGAATTTCTATAGAATGGAGAGCTTGACTCCCGAAAGGAAAAAGAGGGTGTTTGCGCAAAGCAAACCTTAGCTGCACAAATTGTTCTATTAGGCTCGGAATGAGGGAATCTACTCCAACTCAAAAATCTGATAGAGTGAGGTATTCGATCCTAAAGCTTTCATACACAAAACCATGGCTGATATTCATAAAGAAGAGGAAAGGCTAACCCCACTCTGAATCCTAGACTCCGACGGCGCCAGCAATTCTAAGGTTGTCGAAGAAGACGCTTTGGTGGATCATCCAATGAGAAGATCACATCATGGAAGAATTCCCTATGCAAGTAATGTTAATTGGGCAATAACATTGCATAGTAGGCATGCTGAATGTCTCCAATGAATATCATGTGATGGTATTAGTGTGGGTGATTATAAGAGGTATGCCAGTAAGACATTAGCATGGAAAAATGGTTAGTGAACTATTTATCAAAAATGACAGACTACGATGAATCACATGGACGTGGTCAATGATGCATCATAGGATCGTGCTAGTGTACCACTAATCCTTAGACCTGAGACATCACGGTTGAATTCAACATAGGATGCATATGGTTCATATGGAGTATAAGCACGAGACTAGTCACGTCTTGTGTAATAAGCCAGTTTGTTCATATGTTATTCATGTGTGAGGACAAGTGATGGTCAAGATGGGATCGTTAACTCNAACCGGTTTATCCCACCCCTAGTCTTAATTTCTTGACCGGAAAGTACTACCTTGCTGAAGGATTAAGTGTAGTTCCTAGATTCAGAGAGACCATTTCATGGGTTTAGCCCCATCTCTTCCCTTATGAGTAATCTCCATGTCTAAACATTGACTCAACTTCCTCACTACATGATCCAGACTTCGCCTTTCCGTGGAAGTTTGAGACATACTAAGCATTGCTATTTCAACAGCTTTCTAGGCAGAGTCAATGTCGAAGTCTCCTTGTAACCTTGGATCAACAATGATTTTGATATCCCCTTGTCCAATCATGGAACCAACCCACTAGCTTACGTGATTATTGTCATTAGTACAGTGTTTGTAATAACAAGTCAGCTTATGATCAAGTCCAAAATAACAACGACAAAACTAAATACATCACTCTTCTCAGTTAATCTATAAGTTTGACAATACCTGCAAGGCCAAAAAGATTACTTGGTCCATAAACATTTTAAAACAAATGTTGATATATCTTGCTAAACCACATTTATTGTGTTCTTTCTTTTGATGACTTGCATTTTTCATAATTCTACTAAGGTCTATGCCCCATATCTTGGAATTTCTTCTTTCTCTAACTCTTCATTGTTTGTGGAAAATCTTTCTCAATCAGACAATAAAGATGGTAAGTACTGTAAAGTAATCACCAGTAAACCCTTTTGCTAACATGTCCGCTAACATATATATTATGAGGAATAACCCAAATTTAGATTGAACATACCCAATTTCAAATACCAAATACAAATACATTTTGACAAAAACATCCGATACTGACTATCATTTGGAGAAGAAAACTGTCGAGCCTATATTAAGTAATCCCTTGATCTAAATGTTTGAGTAATATTGGAAAAGTAACCCGCCCGGCCCCGCCCGCGGCGGGTTAGTGTTTTTGGCGGGTCAGGCCTAACCCGGCCCACCTTTGTTGTTAGGATTGGCTGGCCCAGCCCTCCAACCCTAACCCAGCGGATTATGTTACGGGCCGGGCCGGGTTAGCCCCCCCTTTTTTTATTTAATTTTTTTTTCTTTTCTTTTGTGTAATTGTTTTTAGTTAACTTTTTAAATATCAATAATTCAATTAAATTTTTATTTTTGTTAACATTTCAAATATTAATTCAATTTTAATACAATAAAATTGTAATATAAGAAAAATTAGATTTATTCATTTATCAAAAAATAAAATAAGAAATTACAATAATTATTTCCTCGTTAAAAACCTCACCAAAAAAAACCCAATGGAATAAAAACTTGGTAAAGAAAAAAGAGTGCAATAATTGACAATTAATTTACAAGTTATAATTTACAAAACAACTAATTTGGGGGTTGACTAGGATCTTCCTCATCCATATCATCTATATTACAAAATTGAAATGATTCTATTAAAGTACCGTCGACAACCTCGTATTGATCTTGAAGGTGCGATCGTTCCCAATCTCGAAGACATGTGAGGACTTCAATCATTTTTGGGATTATTTTANGTGTTTCAATAGCTCAGATGAATTTAAAAAATGTGAGAGAGTAAAGTGTATCAATAAAGATTGGTTCACAACGTAACCTTACAAACTCTCTGATTCAATCATTAAATGGTAGCTTCCTGTTTTTTGCCGATGGATTTTGAATTTTGAAAAATTTATTAGCAAAAAGTTTGGGTGTTGCCACCTAAGAGTTGGTGAAAAAAAATTTGTGTGATTAATAGAGGGTGGTTTTAAAGAAAAACAAAGTGTAAGTTTTGATAGGTCATTAACTAACGGATACTGTAACTTTTATGGGTGCATTTGGTTTATTATTTTGGATAAGATTTTGGGGATAATATTGGATTGTTGGATAGGGGAGTATTACGAGGTAAACTTTAAAAATTTATGAAAAAGCTCTTAGGTTTACTAATTTAATTAAAGACCCTAATATATAAAATGACAAAAACACCCCCACCACCTACAGTGCCAGATCTGACCACCACCGTTGGAATCTGACCGAAAAATTTCGTTACGACACAGACCGGTCGGATCTATGCTGTAACGCGTCGTTATGGCCTTTTCCGGCCAGATCCACCACAGATTTGACCGGAAAAGGCCATATCTACGAACTGCTGTGGCTGCGACGGCTGGAAAAGGCTGAAACGATGGCCATCTTTGGCCGTCAGCGACGGCCAAAGATATGGCCGTCGTTGTCTGTCAACGACGACAAAGATTTAGCCATCGTTGACGGCAGATTTGGCCTTTTCTAGCAAAATCCATTGTGGATCTGGCCAGAAAATGCCAGATCTGGCCATTACTGGCTATTTCCGATGGCTGTGTGACTATTGTGATAGATTCTGACTACCACCGGTAGTGGTTGTGGGAATCTGGCAGGTATTGGTAGATAGGGGTATTTTTATTAGTTTTTAAACTTATTTTCTAGGGGGTATTTAAAAAAATTAAAAAACTTATAAGGTCTTAACGTAATTAAAAAAATATACTAATATTTTAAAAATAACATATCAAACAACGTTTAAACAGGATTGAGAATATGAATAAAAACAAGAAACCAAATGCACCCTATATTGTTATCTTACTGGAGTACGAATTTCCAAACATCACATTAAGCGGGAGGAAGTTTCCTCGAACTTTCGTGNAAGATTTCCACAAAAAATGAATTATCATGTGAAAGGAAATATTAAAGAGATTTTACAAAGAGCCTTTGGGACACTTGGATTAATTTAATTTAAATATTCATAAATAAATCTTACATAAAGGGTTGTGATCATATACCAACTTATAATATTCATTCGAAAATATAAAATTAAAAAATTTTAGATCTCAAGCCTTAAAATTTAATTATAAAGAAGGATAAATAATTATGAGATTAACTGCCTAACATGTGACAACCCATGTGGCTTGCTTTTAATTCACATGTTATAATTAGTGAAGAAGAAGTGGAATATCATTTATATTAAATATTATGTAGATTACTTAATTAGTGGAGAAATCCGATTCAGCAGGGACAAAAATTTGCAAACCAACGGCCAACCCGCGGGTCAACCCGGCGGGTTATTTCCAAAAAAACAAAATAGCAACTCGTCGGGTCGCCAGGTTACCATATATCAACTCGGCTCACCCAAGGGTTGCATGCGGGTCGGGTTCAACCCGGCCCGTCTACTAGGCTGTTTAGATTGAACCCTCTTTAATACAAGCCGAGTTAGGATTGGCCCGCCTAACTCGACCCATTTGTGCCACCTCTATGTTTGAGCTATCAAGCTTAAACTAATATCAAACTTTGTAACAAGTATGAGGGGAAGAAAACTACTTACCCATTGTTTTATTCTTTTATGAGACTAGCACTTCTCTATATTAGAAGTTTCTATCAGTCTGTGCGAAATTTTCAATCTGTGCAAAATTTTTCAGTCCGTGTGAAATTGTGACGAACTGCCTAGTTTGCGCAAAAATTTTGCATGGACTGGGCAGCGACCTGCAACCATCGATTTC